ATAAGGAAGAAGAAAAAGAAAGAACAACTCAGCCATCCTTATCCTAATTTCCTTTCTTTTTAAGTCCCTCAAGTTTGGACATTTTGATCATTAAGCCTCAAAACACTATTTTCTCACACAAAGGTCCTTAACTTAATGCTAAAATACCCCAAAATTTTGGGATATTACAAATATAATTGTCTATTATACTCTTACATTACTTTTTTTTTAATTCTACATTTTTTTATTTCTTAATAAATTAAAAATATAATAGTTAATTAAAATAAAAAAGTGTGGTATTAATAATTGAAGACGTGATAATAATATTACCTCGTAAAGAGAAGAGAAAAGAATTTTTCTATACTCGGCTTTGTATGTATTTAAATTTAAGCCTTTTTTGTTAACATTATTGTTTTTTTATACTTAACTCTCTCTATATCAATAGCTTTAATATTGTTAAAAAATAAAGCTTCATACTTTAATTTTACAAATATTATATAATCACTATTTAAATTTTGTAAAATGGTATTAATCAAACTTTAAAAAATAATACAAAAAATGAGGTTATTATCACACCCTAAATAGTTAATACCATATTATGTTAATATAATTATCTATTTTACCATTACATTATATTTTTTCTCAAAATTCTACATTTCTTTTGTTTCTTATTAATTAATATTAGTTATTAATTACTTTTTTAAAAAAAAAAAAGGAAATGGAAACGTTGCAAGAAATGGCTTAAAAAAGAAACAAAAAACCGACGTTCCAAGTTTTCATGGAAAGAAAAGTGCAGCAAAAAATGTAGTGCACAATTTTTAAACCTATATAGTTGTAATATATTAATTGATGGTACAATAACTCATTGAATAGTATGATATTTTTTTACTTGATTTTTACTCTACTAATAATAAATGTTTTTCTAACTTATATTTTTAAAATAAAGGTTAAGAATATTTTTTTATTATAAATATATAAAAAAAATATAAAAATTAATATTAATTTTAGTGTTAATATTAAATATATGAATTTAATTAGACAGTTGATAAATTAAAAGTTGGCTCTTATTTTTATAATATAAATTTATGATAAAAATGTGTATTTAATACATTCTTAATCTATACTCTTAGGGTATATGTTAAATAACACTAAAAATAATAATCACATTTTAAAAAGAATTCAAAAGAAAGAAATTTACCAGAAAGAAAAAATTAGGCGACATTTAAAAAAAAAGAGTAAATTAAGGAAGATATGTGAATATGACATGTCACAAATTAAATTTTTTTCCCTTAATTGTTTCTCATTTATAATCTATATATATATAGATGTTAAGTACTTATTAATTCTAATTAAATAAATATTAAAATTAAAAAAATAAAAATGAATGAAACTCTCCCTCTCTTTTTTTCATTACTTTGATTAATGATTTTTATTTTAATACTTGAAAATAATTCAAAATTTTAGTTTTAATTACTGAGATTTTTATTTTTTTAATATGATTGATGTAATTAATCAAAAAATTTTAATCATTATTTATTAACCATAGTGGAATATTTCAGTTGCTAAATTTTTAATTATATTAATCAAAGAAAAAATATTTTAAATATCAAGTAATTTAGAATTGAACAAAATATGTTCATATCTAAATAATAAATTATGTAGTGAGAAAAATAGAGACAGTTTTGATTATCATTTTTTAATTTTATAATAATTTATTTAATTAATATTAATTGATAAAAATTTAATATTTTAACTATTACATCATAAAAAGGTATAATAGACATTATAAGAATTCTTGATATACTTATAATGTATTTTTTAAAAGTATTTTTATTTAAATAAGATTTAAAATTAAATTTTCATTAAATAATAAAAAAAATCTGATAAACATACCAGAGTAAAATTTTTTAAAAAATTAAAATCATCATAAATTAGCAAATATATCTTTTAAATAAAAAATTGTAATTAAAGTTTGATAGCTAGTTGGGGGAAAAAAACGTAAAAAAAGAGTGCACGTTAGGTTGAAATTAAATTTAATGAATATTGGTAAAAAAACGTTAATTAATGAGGGGAGAAAAGTATAAATATGTGGCAACAAAAGAGTATATTAAAAGAGGTTTATAAAAGTGACATATGACATACTTACCTTGAATAGTTTTTGCTTTTATATATATATATATATATATATACGGTAAAATGGTTTGCAGCCGGTCCTGCAAATTTTTAGGCGGAATGACTTATATAGATGACACCATTTCTAGTTATAGCACTTATTCTCATCCCCAAGGCTACCTTTCTCGCCATTCAACCCACCCTTGTTTCCAAAAACTCAGAAACCCCAAAATATGAATTCCATCTCTGAATTCTTCATCTTCAATAACCACATCACTGCCCAACCCAATGATGGAAACTCATTAAGTGGAGATTGCTCTGGTTTTTTCCGTGAGCCTTCATGCTTTCTTCCACTCATCAGTCTGCTGCTGTTGCTGCTGCTTATGCTGCTTCATCAATAACCACCTCATCTTTTTTCTTCAATTTTCATCTTTTTCTCTTCATTCAAAACCCCTATTTTATCTTTGATTTCCTTCACTCAATTCCACTCTTTTCAGTTTCCCATTCAAATCTCCGCTTGGAATCATAGAGGAAGAACGACCAAAAAACAAAATGTTGTGGAATAGGTTCACCTCGTCAAAAGTAAGCTTTCTTGGCTGGCACTTTTTGTTGGATCTTTTGACGATAAAAGATAATCCTATGAGCAGAGGTATTTCTTTGGGCCTTTCGGTTTTTGCCTTTTCTCATTTGGGTATTTGAGTTTATTTGAATTTCGAATTGGGTATTTGAAAAAATTAGTATTTGTTTCTGGGTTTTTAATAAAAGAAAGAAAGAAAAGAAGACTCTTTCTGGGATTTTTGTTTCTAGAATTTTTGTTTCCAGTCAATTGTATACTTTTTGCTTGTGTCAAGGAAATACCTCCTGCTCATATTAAGGGTTTGTGAATTTTTGGAAAGAGGGGAAAGTTGAAGACGAGAAAAACAAATTTGGGGCGAGGGCTTAACTTGAAACGGTGTCGTTTAAATAAGTCATTCCGCCTAAAAATTAGCAGGACCGGTTGCAAACCAGTTTACCGATATATATATATATATTTTTTTTTTTTCTTTTAGTTAATTCATTGAATACTGGCTATTTATTTCGGGCATCTGGTCAAGCGTGAAGAAATTGAATGATGAAAAAATTAAGTGGTATTAATGTTACACTTTTAATTATTAATGTTATATTTTTATTTTAATTAATTAATATATATTTTAATTTATTAAAAAATAAAATATAAAATTTTGAGATAAAATGTATGATTTATCTAACTTGTATTCTAAGGGCATAGATTAAAAGTATAATTATATAATTCACCTTTTTGATATTAATTACTATAAAAAAAATAAAAATTAAAATTAATTTTATCATAAATACTACATGTATTGTTTTAATTAGATAATTGATTAAATAAATATTAAATTTCATTTTTTAATGACAATAACTATTAAAAAGGTGTTCTTAACCTTAACTTATACCCTAAGGGCACGAGTTAAAAGAACTCTAAAATATATTATAAAGATATAATAAGTAATTATATTAAAAATATATATTATTAACAATATAAGTATGGCAATAACCCACCGAAATTAGGTTGGAAAAGAAGAGTAAACCCCTAAATTTAAGGGTAATTAATTGATTTCATTAATCCTGGTGAAATTGGCTAAAACCACGGGAATGATTTAATAAGAATATTAATGTCACCAAAATTATAAATAGCGTTTTTAAAAGTATGGATTTCTTTTATGGAGTATCTATCTTGTGCCCTTAGAGCACATGATAAGAAGCAATAATTGCTAATTATTATAGTATTTTTACCTTAAAAATAATAAAGTTGATTTTTATTTTTTTATTTTTTATTTTTTTTATCTTTGTTAAACAATAAGAAGCAACTATTTCCTATCCCTTATCTCACCCTTGATTTTTATTTTAATTGCAAATGTCATGTGTTAGTTTTTTTATTGGTTCATTTTGAAATTAATATCAAATTTTAATTTTTTTTAATTTAAAATGTTATATCTTTTAAGAAAAAAATGATAATTATAGGGCACAAGATAGACAAATCTTTTTTTTTTTAATTAACCTTTTAGTATTTGAAAACATATTAAGTGGTGATTAATTTATAATCGAGTCATGTTAGATTTTATAAAAAAAAAAAACTCTCTTAGTATATATTTTTCTATTTATAAAATTCAAATTTGAGATTTTATTTAAGAAAAACTGATCTCCTTATATTCGAACTTATAAATTATTGGTAAATATGGATTTATTTACACATAAATATTACACATCATATTTATAAAAAATCTCATCTATTTATTTATTCACTTTTAATATTTGAGATTTATTCACATTTATTAAATATAATTATATTTTTTATTTAAAAATTGTGATAAATCTTAACCATTAAAAATAGAGAGATGAATAATCAAGATTTTTTGTAAGTATAATATATAAGATTTGTGTGTAAATAAATCTCTTTTCTTTTAAAAATATTAATTCTATTTAATTTGATTGATGAAAATGATTAATAACCATAATTATTAATTAATACTCACTACATTTATTTTTATTAGACTTAATTTAATTTTTTAACTTTTTAAATATAAATTTTAAATAAAAATTTAACAATTTATATATCTAATAGAAAAGTTTTTTCTTACATAAAATTCTCGTTGATTACTTTTACTTAATAAAAAAATAAATTCAATTATCATTTATATAATATATTAAATTTTCATTTAAAATTTATATTTTAAAAACTAAAAAGTTAAATTAAAATTATTAAAAACATTAAAAAAGAGTATAGTTGGTAAAATAATTTACATTTTCTAATTAAGAAATTAAAATTAATTAATTAATATCTTTCAACATTATTTCAAAAAAAAAAACTAAAATTATGAGTGACCTAACATATTTGACAACGACAGTAACCATTCCTAAAACCCCAAACAAACCACAGAGGGAATATCCATTGCCACCTATCTACTAAATTAGTACCAAAAAGACACGTGGAATGAAATGAGTACAGCCGACAACTGTATTCTCACCTGCCAAAAGACCAAAAAAAAAAAAAAAAGAAAGAAAGAAAGAAAGAAAAGACAAACAAAATTCACCAGCAATTTTTGTAGTACAGGCTGATATGTCGGTTTGTTTTGCAAAAGCTAAATGTCAAAAACACTGTTGTGGTGGTCCATTAAATAAAATAAATGAAAGGTTGATTCGAGACGCGGCCATGATTTCTGCGTTCTGTGTCTCTTTGTTTTCTTCTCAAATAAATTTCCTCCCAACAGCTACCAATTTCTTTATTCTTTTTAGTAATTAGCTGTCAATTTCTTTTGTAGTATAGCATTTTTTGATTTTATATTTTAAGAACATGGATGCCAGAGAATTGATAATATTTTCAATAAAATAAAAAATTAAGTTGAAAGGAAACTTGTAAAGACAAAACGACCTTTACCCACTAAATCAAAATGGTTCAAAAAGGTAAATAAATTTTATTTAACCAAAGGTCAAAAAAATAAAAAATAAATTTCACCAAAGTCCGTATATGTTTATATATGTCAAATGGCCAATTGAGGACCCAAATAATAATTTACTCCAATTTTTGTTTTTAAAGAAGCTTCTCAAACACAAAAGATTAAATTGCACTCATAGAAGATGATGGCCAAAAAGAGAAAAAAAAATTGAGAGTAAACATTCTAGAGACACATTGGTCAGGAAAAAGAAAAGGACAGATATGAAAGGACCAACGCCTTTTTTCTCTCTATTAATCATTCTCTGTGTTAAACCGTAAAAATAGTGAAAGAACTCAACCTCTAAATCCAGCCTTTAGCGCACGCTCTCCGCTCCTTCTCTCTCTCACACCCCCTCTGCACCGCCTGGGTGACGTACTGAATTCTCCCAAGAGAAAATATCCATTATGTTACGTTTCAGACCAAACCCTCCACTGCTTTTCGTTTTCCTTTTCTTATCGTTTTTCTTGTTGATAGATGGCAGTGCCGAAGCCTACGATACCCACAGTTTCAAAGCCCCAGGTATGTTTTTGCTCTTTTAGTCCTTTTCACATTTTTCTTTTCTGAAAACAAGTGTATGTTTGTCCAGTTTTCTTGACGTGATTCTTTTGTAATATGGAATTAATACAGGGTTTCTCTTAAGTGAGGCTGAGAGAGAGTTTAGAGGGGTGTTGCCATGGCTCACAAAACGGAGGAGTCTTGCAGATGGAAATGGAGACAACTCGTCTCTGATTCTGGCTGCGGATAGGACTTACCGGACAGACCCTCTTGATCATTTCAAAAAATACACTGGTGGCTGGAATATCAGCAATGTTCACTACTGGGCTGTGAGTAAATTCTCCTGTTTTTTTACTTTCATATCTCATATATGCGTTCCCTTTTGATTTTGTTCCCCCTCCTTGTCATATTTTTTCTATTGGGATTAGTTGTTGTATTTCATAAAGAATAAAATGCTTTGCTGTGTTATCCGGTTTTGGTCATTTTAGCACCTAGCTTTTGCTGGTTCCCTTTATTAACCATATCGCCTTTTGTGAGGGTTATTTGTTAATTCCTTTGCACAATAATACTATTTTTCTCGGAAGTTCCACAGTTCTTAGCTGATTTCCTCTTCTTTTTTTTTTTTTTTTTCCTTTTTTTTGTGTGTGTGTAATTCATTGAAAATTCAAGCTTGTTAAATGATTGCAAATGCATTATGAAGTTTTGCATCCATTCTGGCGCTTATCATTTTACCTTTTTCGTTCAAAATCAAATTCAGGCCAATTATGTTATATCATCTTTAAATATTTTCTGTTTGCTACAATAACTTTAAATCTTCTCCTAATTTTTCTTGTACTTTTTTGCATCTATAATTCCATTTGTCTTTTTATTATCCACATCTGATGGTTTATTTTGATGTTTTACAAGTCCATTGTTTTGATAATTAATTTGTTTCTTTCTCTGTGATTGCTACTTTCTTGTACGCAGTCAGTGGTTACTACAGCATTGCCTTTCTTTGTCATCGCTGCAGTCTGGTTCGTGATTTTTGCAATATGCCTGTTCATCATATGCATCCGCCATTGCTGCTGCCAAATTGTACCTTATGGCTATTCTCGGACAGCTTATGCCCTGTCTCTTATATTCCTCATATTCTTTACCATTGCTGCGATGTAACGATGCTTCTCAGGCTTTTAACTGCTTTATATTTGTTCCTAGAATTCTAGATTGTATTTCACTAATATTTTACTTGGCAGTGTTGGATGCGTTGTGCTGTACACTGGTCAGGGGAAATTTCACAGCAGTACAACAAGCACACTGGATTTTGTTGTGTATCAGGCAAATGTTACAGTTGAAAACCTCAGGAATGTGTCAGATTATCTTGCTGCAGCTAAGACAGTTGATGTGGCTTCTGTTCTTCTCTCAACAGATGTCCAAAGAACCATTGACAGTACTGAAACAAAGATTAACTCTTCTGCTGCAACTCTTTCCACAAAAACGCAGGAAAATTCAAAGGACATTCGGCATGGATTGGATAGCATGTAAGTTGAAAGATGGTAAATTTAAAATATTGAAGTACATTTAGACTTTAGAGTGTTTATTATGAAGCTGCTGATCTTTTACCATGTGGCGTAGGAGATTGTCTCTTATTATTGTTGCTGCTGTTATGCTGTTTTTGGCATTTCTTGGATTTTGTAAGTGTTCTTTCTTTACTTCAATAGAAAAGTCAGGATTACCATTCCTTCCATAATGTGATCTAAACTTTATGTATGATGACTGGTTGCAGTGCTCTCAATTTTTGGATTGCAGTGTTTAGTTTACTCGTAAGTTAGATATCATGAACTCGTTTTCTGTTTATATATTTCAATTAAAAGGTTCTTTTTTGTACTTACTTCTCCGTTTATATACTTCAATTAATGATTGCAGCCTGGTGATCCTTGGGTGGATTCTTGTTGCTGGCACATTTATTTTGTGTGGAGTTTTTCATCTCATCCACAAGTAAGTGCCATCTGGTATCTAAAATTTCTCTCTCAACTGACTTGTTTATTCACCTTTCAAGCGATTTAACAATTTAAACTTCCGCCTTAATAGGTATGGTTCACTGTCTGTTTCTCATTTTATAGATTTTCTATCAATCAAAGTTGTGATTGGTATCAAATACTTTAACCAGCTTTTTCGTCCAATGTTGGTGTTGTGTACTCCAGTTCAAAGTATTGTTACATTCATGTTTCTTTTCTGGTTTATTAATCAAGAAATTTACTTCCATATAGAATTTCAAATGTTAAGAAGCAAGCTAGGTGTCATGGTTTTTTTGCTGAACTTTCTTCTTTAATTTGTGCTGCTGTTATTTTCTTGTGTTTATCAACTTGTTCTGCGTTCTTAGTTGCATCTTCTACTTCAGTAAAGTACTTATTAATTTAATTTAACAATTGTTTTGGTTGGGGCAAAAATACATAGGATTTAATATTTATGGTGAGACGGTTTTCATGAATTACACTTAATATCATGTAATATAAGTCATAAGTAGACTTGGCGATAAATTAAATGTAATGGAATTCCATGCATGCACTTACTGAACGGGGAATATTCTCCCTGCATCCATATTAAAAGTTGGCAAAGTTGATCTTGAATTACTATTGATCTTAGCTCATGGTGACTGTTGTCTACCTTTAATCATGCTCTGGAGAGGTGATCCTCCTGTTAAGCAATGTGCATTAAGTGCTCTGTTAGAATCTAGAACTTGAGCATAATTTTAAAATGCTATATTCTCTAAATCACCTTTTTTTCCCTATATTTCTTAGTGTGGTTGCAGATACATGTGTTGCAATGGATGAATGGGTTCAGAACCCCACTGCCCATACAGCATTAGATGATATTCTCCCATGTGTGGACAATGCAACTGCTCAAGAGACATTGCTACGAACCAAGAATGTCACTTACCACCTAGTAAACGTGGTGAATGGCATTATCTCCAATGTCAGCAACAAGAATTACCCAGCATCTGCTGGACCTTTATATTTCAATCAGTCCGGACCCCTGATGCCACTTCTTTGCAACCCGTTTAATTCTGATCTCACAGATCGGCAGTGTGTATCTGGCGAGTTGGACTTGTCCAATTCTACAAACGTAATTACATTACTTCTCTACATCAAATAATGCCATCTCAAATGTTTATGGATAAATGATGAACAAACTCATTTCCTAATGACTACTGGATCTGTTTCAAACAGGTTTGGAGGAATTATACTTGTCAGATTTCCTCATCTGGGATCTGCACTACACCTGGCCGGTTGACACCCCAAATTTACTCACAAATGACAGCTGCTGTGAATGTAAGTTATGGTTTGTATCACTATGGACCATTCCTAATCAATCTGGAAGACTGCACCTTTGTGCGAAATGCATTCTCAACTATCAGCAGTAAATACTGTCCTGGCTTACGGCACTACAGTCAATGGATCTACATCGGTTTGGTAATGGTATCTGCTGCTGTGATGCTGTCATTGATTTTCTGGGTAATCTATGCGAGAGAGCGAAGGCACCGGGTGTATGCTAAACAGTTTATGACCTGACCGCCAGAAGAACAAGACAAGGGCTCATAGATGTCCAAAGGTCGGTTGTTTTTACCTGTATGTTTTAGGTATAAACAGTATAATACCTTAGGCCTAAATCATTTGAACATGAGATGTTTATTAGTTAAGAGTTTGGAACCTCTCTTCTGGGGGAAGAATGACTTGAGCATTTCAGTAGTCCCGTAGGGGTCCATTACTGTTAGATTTTCTCCTAGTTGCTGGTAGAACTGACTGGAGGGCGGTTTACCGTCGGACACTCCCTCTGTTGGTATTTACCTGTTAGTGCCTTGAAGTAATTCTGTATTTAACTTTAGATTATACTTCTATATGGAATAGCATCTGTAGCAATTGAATTATTTTATTTTATTTTTATTTTTGTACAATACCTAATTCTTTTTTTTTTTTTTGAACATAAGAGAAATTTAGGGGAGGGGGATTTTTTTTTAAGTCGTTGATACGAGTGAAACTCTCAACTAACTATATTCAAACATTTAAGGTTCTGAAATGAACCATTGAATCTAAAAGTTCGGTTCAATACATAATTTTTGTGTTGTAGTATCATTTGGATTAAAAATATATATATCTATTAATATATATGGGTTTGTCTAAAGCATTGGTTAATAATGCATTAATTATATTTTTTTATTAATTTGTATAGAAAATTATAAAAGTTTATTTTATTTTTAACACTAATAGTGCATAAAATTTTAATTAAATTGTTAATAAAATTAAAATTAATTTTTATTTTTCTTATAATAATTATTTAAAAAAAATTTAGTTAATATACCTTTAGGGCATAAGTTGGAAAAATATTTTATATATATGGGTTTGTTTAAGGGTATATGTTAAGAATTTATTAAATATATTTTTTGTTATAAAATTATATTTAAAAAAATCAACTTTTAATTTATTAATTATTTAATTAAATTTATCACTTAGCATCAATATTAAAACTAATATCAACTTTTACATTTTTTTTATATGCATTTATAAAAAAAAAAAATTCTTGACTTATGTTCTTAAGGCAAAGTTAGAAAAACCTTAAAAGTGCATATTAGTGTGAGTCTTAAAAAATTTGAATCCCAATCTTAAATGATATTGTTTTATTTAATTAAAATTTAATTTAAAGTTCAAAAATTCATATTATTTAATGTTGATTTTTAAATTTGAAAACAAAATTCAATTTAAAATTTAGAAATTTACCATACAAATATTGATGCATAAATTTAGAAACTAATTATATTATAATATATAATTAATTTCATTTCTACATTTGGAAATGAAGATCCAATTCAAAATTTAAAAATTCAACTTGTTAAATATTGATACATAAATTCATTAACCAATTTTAATTAAAATATATAATTAGTATTATTCCTACATTAGAAATAAAAATTTAATTCAAAATTTAAAAATTCACTACATTAAATGTTAACATATAAATTTGAAAATCAATTATATTAGAATATATGATTAATTTTCAAATCTAGATATCAACATTTAATAATATAGATTTTTAAATTCTGAATTAACTTTTAATTAAATGAAATTACATTATTTAAAATTAAGATTTCAATTTTTTTAGGAGCCAAAACTAATTTACACTTTTTTCTATATATGAGAATGGTGCATATCACTCCCGATTTAAAAAAAAAAAAATATAGAGTTTCAACCTTTAACAATGTTGTTTCATTTAATTAAAATTTAATTAAAATTTTAAAAATTCAACTTATTAAATATTAATACATATATTTGAAAACTCGAGCTAATTCAAAATTTAAAAATTTATTTTATTAAATATTAAAATATGGATTTAGAACACAACTATATTAAAATATATAATTAATTTTTAAATTTAAGTATTAACGTTTAATAAGATAAATTTTTAAATTTTAAATTAAATTTCCATTAAATGAAACAACATTGGATTTTAATTTTTTTAATCTTTAGAAATCGAAACTAATATTCACTTCTCTTATATATATAATAGTTGGAATTAAAAAATCATGATAAATCTCAACTATTGAAAGTAAAAAAATGAAGGATTAAGATTTTATGTAAATGTAATGTCATGCCCCAAAACCCAAATCCAAGGACGTGATAGATGTCGTACACTTGTGAAAAGGTCCCACAAATGCACAAGACTCGAAACTTATCATACCACAATCTGATACCCAAAATTTGAAGATAAAATTTTAAAATTTACCTTGATATAATAAAATCTCCAAATAAAGTCTAGCTTACAAAATCATGATTTATATCTAAAATCTATGTTCAATTTACAAGATGACTAGCCTTCTGACTCGTCATTCCCCTCGTTTTTCCCCGTTCTTGACTTCGCTTCCTAAAATGATGGACAAGGAAAAACTATGAGATAACTCAGTAAGTAAATATGGATAGCCCTTAGGTAAAATTTTTAGCATGCCTGATAAACAGTTTAATATTACAAAACGTTCAATGATAAACTGTTAATACAGAATTAGATTCAGTTCAATAACAAAACGATCAATGATAAGCTGTTAATGCCAAAAAAAATTCAGTAGTAGTCTCATCTATAGATCATGGCTAGTGTTTAACAAACTCTCAGTAGCAAGCGTCAGTAATAACCAGTGTTTAACAAACTCCCACTGACAGATGTCAGTAATTACCAATGTTTAACAAACTCCCACTGGCAGACGTCAGTAATTACTAGTGTTTAACAAACTCCCACTGACAGACGTCAGTAATTACCAATGTATTATCCCATTGGCAGGATTACAGAATGAATCGATCATATCAGTAAACATGTCGACATGTGCCAGCGTTTACAAACTCCCACTAGCGGGTGTCAATAATCATGACTATATCAGAGACAAAACCATATAAGATTTACAGAAAAATTCGTAGTTCACAATCAATCCCAAATTTCAGAAATAAATCGAAAAATTTCCATGTGAGCATGGATTTAACAGAAAACTCAGAATTTACAAACTTTACAAAATTCTCAATTTATCAAGGCAGTTCAGTCAATTTCAAGTAGGCATACTTTACTCAATGCAAATGAAAACAATTTCATTTCAAACCAATCATGCTCCGTGCTAATAAAATCAATTTAAACCTTGCCATCATCTCAAAAACAATTTAAAACATATTTTGAAATCCAAGGACATTACCATAATTTACTTACCATAATTTACTTACCTCAAATTCGTAATATCGAAAACCCAAGCCAAGTGCTCAGGTGACAGAACACTCAATAACCTAACTAAAATATTCCAAAATTAATAACCATATGACCAGACATCTTAATTTCATTCTCAGTATAACTACACATTTAAACCCTCCTATTGTTGGCCATTAGTGCGTAAACAGTACCCGTGAACAGTAATCACGCATTGAACAATAACTGCAACTTCCAAAAATTTGGCAAAACAATAGCTAATCAATAGGGTTTTCTCCAAAAATCACAGCAGCCAAAATAAGCTAATTTTCTACATTAAGCAAGCTTAAAAACCCATGTTTTAAGGCTGCCGAAACTCCTCCATTTCAACAGAAAATTTCCAACGGACAAAATGGAGGAACCGAGCTTGGCAAAACAGCACTAAGACCCGGCTATGCATACAGAACATCACAGTAGTCCAATCACAGAAAATTCTACATGATTTAACTTAAAACTTATTTTAAGGCTGCCAGAATTCATCTCCTACTTCCAACAGGATTTTCGGACAACACAGGGCACCCATACAACCAATTAAACTCAACAAGGCAGCAATTAATGGGTAATTTCGAACTTAAAGAAGTGGCCATCATACCAGAATTTTTTTCCAGCAGCCAAGGAACCAGTTCCGGCAGTGAGGAAGCTAATGGCAATTGAAGGGGAAGCTAGGGAAATTACCAGAAATTGAAAGAATTACAAGAAATTAGAGTAAACCCAAGGCAAATCAAAGCTAAAAAGATAAAATTCATGGCTGATTTTTACCAGGAAAAACCGAAATTCACACCCAGCAGTAACCGGCGGCAGAAGAGGAAGAACAGAGCAGATCTGGAAATTCTACAGAGGGGGAAAGATTTCCAAGCTTTAAATCTTGTTCTTGAACAAGAAAAGAAGGGCAAAAATCAAGCTTTTTCCGAGTTTCTCAAGGGGAGGAAACGTCGGTGGCTTTGGGGTTCTTTTCCGGAGCTGCTGGGGATGAAGAAGAAGAGCAAAACACATAAACGGCTAAGGAAGAAAGAGGAAAAGGAGAAAAAATTATCAGCTGCTCCTTATCCAAAATTTTCTCTTTTAAGTCTCTCAAGTTTCAAAATTTTTATTATTAGGCCCCAAACAATATTTTTTTCCAAAAGAAGTCCTTAACTTAAATGATAACATTTCTGAAAATTTGGGATATTACATGTAATGTATAAAATTTGTGTGTAAGTGAATTTTTAGGAATCTACTTTCTCTATATATATAGTGGTAGAGATTCACTTACACATAAATTTTATATGCCACACTTATATAAAATCTTAATAATTCATCTCTCCATTTTTAATAGTTGAGATTTATTCACATTTATTAAATGTAAATATATTTTTCACCTAAAAGGTAGTGACAAATCTCAATAATTAAAAATAAAGAAATAAATGATTAAAATTTTATATAAGTGATATAATAATATTTATATATATAGGACTATTCATATCTTATCCAAACTGGTTATTTCGACTAAAATTGATCCAATCTAATTAAATCCAAACCACATCAATTTGGATTGGTTTAGATTATAAAATATAAAAATCAATATAATTGATTTGATTTATAATTTTTCGTTCAAATTGTTCGATCCGTCTGATTATAAAATAATGTAATTAAATAATATAATATTTTTACTTTTTTATTTTTTAGTAAATATTTTTTGAATTTTTTTAGTAAAGTAAAAATATAATTAACAAATTGTATTTTGTATACAAATTATATTTAAAATTTTTCTTTCCTTGTTGTGCTTTCTTTGTCACGCCCCAGAACCCAAATCTAAGAACGTGCCAAACGCCGTGAGAGAGTCCCACAAATGCATAAGGTTCGGAACTTATCATACCACAATCTGATACCATCAAAATCTGAATATCAAAATTTATAATTTGCTCTAATTTCATAAATCTCCAATAAAGTCTAGTTTACAAGATCATGATTTATTTCTAAAATCTATATCAAATCTCGAAATGGCTAGCCTTCTAACTTGTCACTTCCCGTGGTTTCCCCGTCCTCGGTTTCGCTTCCTAAAATGATGGACAAGAAAAAACTATGAGATAAACTCAGTAAGTAAAATATGGAGTGCCCTTAATTAAACTTATAGCATGCCAACTAGTACAATCACGAAAAACATGTATGAATACGAAAACGAAATAGACGTCTCCTCCATAGGTCATGGCCAGTGTTATAAACCTCCCACTGGCAGGCACACGATTTACTAGTGTATAATCCCACTAGCAGGATAACAGAAACGAACCAGTTCTATCAATAACATGTCGACATGTGCTAGCGTTTATAAACCTCCCATTAGCGGGCACACGAATAACATGACCATATTGGAGACAAAATAGGTAGAATTTAATAGAAAATCATAATTCACCAATTACTTTCAAATCGTCAGGACAATCAATTAAATTTCAAGTAAGCATGCTCAATTTAATGAAAAGAATAATAATCTTATTTCAAATCAATAAAAAGCATAAAAATTTCACTTCAAATCAGTCATACTCGTGTAAAACAGGTTTAGTCCTGCCACCACTTTAAAAACAAGTCAAAACATGCTTTTAAAAACACTACGAGCATTATCATAAATTTACTTACCTCACTCGCATAAAACCGAAGACTCGATCTCAGTGCTAAACTGACAAAACGATTAGAAACCTAATCAAAATATCCAAGAATTAATTATCGTACCACGGATTCAAAGTGAAATCACCGTGACTACCCTCTAATCACGATGCTATTTCTATCAATCTCCACATTACCAGATATCTCCAAATTCGTTCTTATATTACAAACTAAACATTTAGATCCCCGTTAATTGTTGGTCATTAATGCATGAACAGTACCCGTGAACAGTAACTACACTTCCAAAATTGGCCAAAACACTAGCTAATTTCACGGAATTGTTCTCCAAAATCTCACAACAGTCAATTAAGCTAATTTATACATGAATTAAGCTCAATTATGCTTTAATTACTGTCAAATTTCTCCCCTATTTCCAGTAGAAAAATTCAGACACACAGGGCAATAATTACATGGATAATTCAGCAACCAATTGATGAGATTTCAAGCTTGGAGGGGCTGTCAACATACCAGAATTTTCCAGCAAGCAACCGGAGCTACAATCTAGGGGAAGCCGATGGGAATTTGGAGAAGAAGCTCACGACCTACCTCAAAATTGAGGGAAATAAAAAGAAATTAGAATAAACCAACTTGAATCAAGGCTAGAAGGACGAATCCTTGGCTATTTCTTACCAAAAAACCCGAGCAATTCGCACCCCCACACAACAGAGCAGTAGCCGGGAGTAGCAGAGCAGAGCAGATCCAGAAACTCCTGTAGGGGGGGAGATTTCTAAGCTCCAAATCTGGTTCTTAAACAAGAAAATAAGGGGAAAATCCAAGCTTCTTACTGGTTTTCTCAAGGGAAAATGTCACCGGCAGCTGGGCTTGGTTGTTCGGTGCAGGGAGAAGAAAAGAAGGACAAAAAAGTAATTGATCCTTATCCAAATCTTTTCCCTCTTTAAGTCCCTCAAGTTTGGAAATTTTCACTATTAGGCCCCAAAACAATCTTTTCTCTCACAAAAACCCTTACTTAAATGCTAAAATATCACAAAATTTTGGGATATCACATCCACCCCTCCTAAAAAGGAGTTTTGTCCCCAAAACTCAAATTGAGGATCATTTCAAGTGGTGAATGGCTTCACACAATCCGAGACAAAACAATTGCTTCACAAACTCTTATAAACAGAACATGACCTACTATGCTTCTGTTGCGCCACTCTGATAACAAACCACAACTAATCATAAAAGTAAAACATTAACTACTTAACAGGGTTTACCATGAAACAAACTACTGGAGGCTGGGGTGATATGAGAAGCACAAGGAATAGAAATAAATCCTGCCAAAGCCACAAAAGAACAATTATAGGGTTACGCTTTGAACCCAACACAAGATGAGTTGGCAAAGAATGGCATGGATTTAAAGACGAGTACAACAAAATTTTGAACTCTATCAAAGACGGATAAGCATCCAATGGATATATGGATCATTAATGAATGAACAAGTGCATGGAGGCCTATAAATTCTGCCACAAAACAAGGTTAACCAATAAGCAAGGTCATGTTTAACAAAGCAATTGGAATCAAGAGATAGATTTTAGCAATTAACAAGAGTTAAAAGCTAGACCCATCAAATGACGTGAAATTTCCAGAATAGCATCAAAATGACATTCACCAAGAATCAAGATCAAATTTAACCAAGCAGTCAAAATTGAGAGATAAGAGTTAACCATGAAACAAGCAATAGAATTCAAGGATAAGGCCCACAAAAGAGATTTCAATAATGACAACCAAAATATGGATTCAAGAGCAGATATAACCAGGATGTCAAGATCTAGCACCCCAAGTAACACGAATTAATTAACAGAATAATCAATAGTGGGGATCATGATACTTAGAAGATTACTGTCTTCTAATTAAAAGGGCAAACAAAAATCAAGGCAGCCAGATAAAAGAACCATTTCTCTTAGAACAAAACTCTAGGGCATCAGGTACTTCAAAGACTACCCCTTCACCTCATAGCCTATGGAGGCTAAGCAGATTTACAATCAAGTCATCTTAAACATCCTAGAGTCACGTCAAAGCTAAGACATCAAGAATACAGAGATTAACACTTGCAAGAGATTAAAACTATGAGATAAATTCAGTAAGTAAATATGGATAGCCCTTGGGTAAAATGTAAGCATGCCAGATAAACCATGTAAGTATGACAGAACTTTCACTGATAAACCGTTAATGCGGAAATCAAATTCGGTTCAATAACAAAACGTTCAATGACAAAACCGTCAATGCAAAATCAGATTCAGTTCAATAACAAAACGTTTCCTAACAAACCGTTAATGCAGAAGAAAACTCAGTTCAGTAGTCTCATCTATAAGTCATGGCCAGTGTTATAACAACCCACTGGCAGGCGACAGAAATTTACCAATGTGTTCGCCCATTGGCAAGCGTCGGAATGTGCCAATGTATTCGCCAGTGGCAGGTGTCAGAATGTGCCAATGTATTCGCCCAGTGGCAGGCGTCAGAATAAACCGGTCATATCAGTAAACATGTCGACATGTGCTAGCGTTACACCCACTAGTGGGGATCAGAAGTCATGACCATATCGGAGACAAAACCATACAGGATTTACAAAAGAAATCCGTAATTCACAATCGAAATCCCAAATTTCAGAAATAACCAGAAAATTCCATGTGGGCATGGATTTAACAAAACATCATAATTTACAAAAATTCTTAAATCATCAGAGCAGTTCAGTAAGTTCCAAATAGGCATGCTCTACTTCAGAAAAACAATGAAATCCTCATTTTCATTCCAATCATGCTTAATTCCAGTAAAACAATGAAATCCTCATGAAAATCATCAAAATTCTCTTTTCAGTTTAATCACACTCAGATGCTGATAAAATCAATTTAAACCTTGCCACCATCTCAAAAACAATTCAAAACATGCTTTAAAATTGAAGGGCTTTACCATCATTTACTTACCTCACTCGCACAAAAGAGAAGGCTAACCCAAGCGCTACGGTGATAGAACGATCAAAACCTAATCACAATATTCCACAATTAATACTGTGATACCACAAATTCAAAGTAAAATCATCATTAGGACTACCCCTAATCACGATGCTATTTCTATCAATCTCCACATAATCGAACATCTCTAAATTTATTCTTATATCACAAACTAATCATTTAAATCCCCGTTAATCGTTAACCCTCGGTGTGTGAACAGTACCCGTGAACAGTACCTATGAACAGTATCCGTGAACAGTAACCTCAACTTCCAAAATTGGCAAAACATAGCTAATTCACGGGGTTTCTCTCCAAAATCTCACAACAGTCATAATAAGTTAATTTTCTACATAAACCACACTTAAAAACATAGCTTAAAGCTACTCAAAATTTCCCCAATCTCACGGGCAGGAGAGCATGGCTTTGGCAAACCACACACACGGGATTTTCACATAAACATCACAACAGCTAATTCAAGCTAAATTCTACATAATCAAGCTTAAAACACATTTAATCGCTGCTAAATGCTACCGGAATTCCTCCCCCATTTTAGCAAAATTCGGGCAAGCACAGGGCAACACTTAATGGACAAAACCCAACAATTAAATGGGTAATTTTAAGCTTGGAAAAGCCGGCAACTTACCAGAATTCCAGCCAGCAGAACCCGAGCTTGGCTGGTGAGGAAGCCGACGGGATCCAGGGGGGGGAAACTCACGGCAACTCCAGAAATTCAAGAAACAAAACAAAAATTAGAGTAACCCAGCCAAATTAAAGAGAGAGGATGAATTTCATGGCTATGGCTTACTCGAAGAAAGCCCAGGAATTCAAACCCACATACAGCCGGCGGACAGGGGAGAAGAGCAGAGCAAAACCGGGATTTTCTGGGTTGAGAGGGAAGATTCTAAGCCCCAAATCTTGTGATTTAACAAGAAAAAGAGAAGAAATTTCATCAAGCTCACCGATTTCCCAAGGCTGGTGCCGGTGGCTTGGAGGGGGGAGCTGGTCGAGTGCAGGGGAGAGAAAAGAAGAGTCGATGCGCGGATAAGGAAGAAGAAAGAAAGAAAAAAAGAAAGAGAAAAGCAGTGGATCCTTATCCTATTTCCTTTCTTTTTAGGTCCCCCAACTTTTGAAAATTTTGCGATTAAGCCCCAAAATAAAATTTTTCCTCAAATAAGTCCCTTACTTAATGCTAAAATATCCCCAAAATTTTGGGATATTACAATTTTCAAAAATAGATTCCAAGAACAATATCAGTCGATTTTCAAGAGTAGAATTCCAACAAGAATTAATTTCAAGCAAGGTTTATGAACGAATTCCAAGCACAATGCCAAAAACAGTTTCAAGAAATAGTTTAAGACAAGTATCAAGATAATGAGGATTTCAATAATCATTATCCATTTCAAGATTTCAATTTCAAGAACAAGTACAAAGCAATATCAAGAAAGATTCAAGACGGATTTTAGGAGTTTAAAGCAGTTTCTAAGTATCAAGAATGTAAAGATTAGCAACAATAGAGAGTTTAACTTTATGACAACTTGCCAATCTTCACAAAAACAAGGCAATTTCAATTAAATTGATTACTGTTTTTGATTAACCAATACAGAAAAATGAGCCACATGAAAAGACCATGAAGATAAGGAGCAACAGAATTACCAAGTTATCCAGCTCCTAAAACGCATCTAGGAAACACACAACATTTGCTAAAATAGCCTTGAATCTCTTACAAAGTACAAGGTTGCCCATCTTCCACTGGTCATGTGACAACAGAACAAATTGCTCAACCAGCTATGCTGTAGAGACCAATAAGATCAGTAGCAAAAAATCTCTACAACTCCCCAGATTTTACAATTGTGGCAAAAGAGCATACAAAAATTTTATTCAATTAACAAGTCTAGACAAGTGCAGACTATCAGAAAATGACCAAGTTTCAAAACAAGGTCTTAAGAACATGGCAGACAAGATTAATTTCATGAAGCTACACAGGGTATGAAGGCAAGAAACAAGAACAATCCGATCACCATCTCATCAAAATGGATTGGATAATTCAGGCAACATGAATCAGAATCGTCCCTTATATAACCCCATCACTCATCTCACCATGGTTATTGGCTAGCCAAGTCCAAAACAAATCCTAGGTATTCAATTAAACCTAAGCTCTAATATCACTCAATCTGGAGGTGCTTAATTTAATTCTCAGCTTTTAATTTAAATCTATGCTCTGATACCACAAAGTTTGTCACGCCCCAGAACCCAAATCCGAGGACGTGCCAAATGCTGTGCACTTATGAGAGGGGTCCCACAAATGCACAAGGCTCGGAACTTATCATACCACAACTTGATACCGTCAAAATTTGAAGATCAAAATTTATAATTTGCTCTAATATCATAAATCTCCAATAAAGTCTAGTTTACAAGATCATGATTTATTTCTAAAATCTATATCAAATCTCAAAATGGCTACCCTTCTAACTCATCACTTCCCGTGGTTTCCCTATCCTCGGTTTCGCTTCCTGAAATGGTGGACAAGGAAAAACTATGAGATAAACTCAGTAAGTAAAATATGGAGTGCCCTTAATTAAACTTATAGCATGTCAACCAGTACAATCACGAAAAACAGGTATGAGTACGGAAACGAAATAGACATCTCCTCCATAGGTCATGGCCAGTGTTATAAACCTCTCATTGGCAGGCACACGATTTACTAGTGTATAATCCCACTAGCAGGATAACAGAAACGAACCAGTTCTATCAGTAACATGTCGACATGTGTTAGCGTTTATAAACCTCCCACTAGTGGGCACACGAATAACATGACCATATTGGAGACAAAACAAGCAGAATTTAACAGAAAATCATAATTCACCAATCACTTTCAAATCATCAGGACAATCAATTAAATTTCAAGTAGGCATGCTCAATTTAATGAAAAGAATAATAATCTTATTTCAAATCAATAAAAAGCATAAAAATTTGGTTAAATACCCTTTTTGGTCCCTCTACTATAGGAAAAAGCCCCTTTTTAGTCTTTATACCAAAAAAATTCCTTTTTTGGTCCTTACTGTTCACAAATCCGATCCCTTTTTAGTCCTTCTGTTAAATTTTAGCTGATGTGGTAGGTTAATTAATGGAAAAACTCTTTTTTTTTTTTACCATTTTACTAAATTACGTGGAAAATTCATTTGGCAAAAATGGATGACGTGATTAAATTTTTTACATTTAATTACTGATTTACCCTCATCTTTTTCCCCATCCTCTCCTTCCTCTGGCCTTTTTTTTCTTCTTTTTTTTCTTTTACCTCTGGGTTCGCTCTGGCCCTTTTTTTTTCTCTTTTTTTTCTTTTAGCTCTAGGCGAACCCAGGAACCTGGGTTCGCGAGGAACCCATGTCGCGAGTTCCCAACGAACCTAGGAGCCTGGGTTCGCGAGGGTGCTCTAGGCGAAACCAGGAACCTGGGTTCGCAAGGAACCCAGGTTGCGGGTTCCCAACGAACCCAGAAGCCTGGGTTCGCGAGGAACCCAGGTCGCAGGTTCCCAACGAACCCAGGAGCCTGGGTTCGCGAGGAACCCAGCTCGCGGGTTCCCAACGAACCCAGGAGCCTGGGTTCGCGAGGAACCCAGCTCGCGAGTTCCCAACGAACCCAGGAGCCTGGGTTCGCGAGGAACCTAGCTCCGGGGTTCCTAACAAACCCAGGAGCCTGGGTTCGTGAGGAACCCAGTTCGTGAGTTCCCAACGAACCCAGGAGCCTGGGTTCGCAAGGAACCCAGCTCGTGGGTTCCTAACAAACCCAACCCAGCTCGCGCTGTCCTTAGCTTCCACAGATTGAGTCGAGTTCTTTACTATTTGAAGGTTATTGACTCCACATATTGCTCAGATCTACGCGATGGAGTTTTCATGGTTGTTTACTTCCCAATGCTGAAGTGGTTTCTCGTACTAGCTCAGGCTCACTCCCCCAAGGTTTGATTCTTGATTTCTTTAGCTTCATTGTTAAGCTTGTTTGGTGTAAATTTGAATATGTTAATTCAGGAAGTTGGCAATTGATTTGTTTCCTGTGATGAGGTGGTGTTCTTGATGAGGTGGTGTTAATTCAGGAAGGTTCATTGTAAATGTTCGATGTAGACGAGAACCCAAGCCCACCTAGGTTTGTCGTGAACTCAGGACAAACCCACCCAGGTCGCGCTGGGTTCGTCGGGAACCCAAGCATGAGCTGGGTTGATCCTGGGTTCGTGAAGAACCCAGCGCGCACCTGGGTTCGTCAAGAACCCAAGATGAATCCACCTAAGCTTGGGTTCTTCACGAACCCATGAACAATGAATCCAGGTCACACCTGGGTTTGCGACTTGGATTGAAGTTGGGTTCGCCTGGAGGTAAAAGAAAAAAAGAAAAAAGAAAAAAAATAAAACCCAAAGGAAGGAGAGGATGGGGAAGAAGATGGGGGTAAATTAGTAATTTTTTTTTTCGTGCTGGGAGAGTGACGCGGAGGAAGACGTGGAGGGTATCATTAAATCCACGTAAGCATCTTTTACATGTTGGCATACCCACGTCAGCTGTTCCAGTTAAGTTAACGTGCCATGTGAGCAAAAATTAATGGAAGGGCTAAAAAGGGGCCGGATTTGTGAACAGTAAGGACCAAAAAAGGGATTTTTTCGGTACAAGGACTAAAAAGGGACTTTTTTCTATAGTAGAGGGACCAAAAAGGGTATTTAACCTAAAAATTTCACTTTAAATCAATCATACTCGTGTAAAACGGGTTTAGTCCAGCCACCACTTTAAAAACAAGTCAAAACATGCTTTTAAAAACTGTACAGGCATTACCATAAATTTACTTACCTCACTCACATAAAATCAGCATAAAATCGAAGACTTTCTCAGTGCTAAACTGATAGAATGATCAGAAACCTAATCAAAATATCCAAAAATTAATTATCTTACCACGGATTCAAAGTAAAATCACCGTGACTACTCCCTAATCACGATGCTATTTCTATCAATCTCCACATTACCAAATATCTCCAAATTCGTTCTTATATTACAAACTAAACATTTAAATCCCCCTTTAATTGTTGGTCATTAGTGCATGAACAGTACTCATGAACAGTGAATGTGAACAGTAACTGCATTTCCAAAATTGGCCAAAACACTAGCTAATTTCACGGGATTGTTATCCAAAATCTCACAGTAGTCAATTAAGCTAATTTATACATGAATTAAGCTCAATTATGCTCTAATTACTGTCAAATTTCTCCCCTATTTCCAGCAGAAAAATTCAGACACACAGGGCAATAATTACATGGATAATTCAGCAACCAATTGATGAGATTTCAAGCTTGGAAGGGCTGTCAACATACCGAATTTTCCAGCAAGCAACCGGAGCTGCAATCTAGGGGAAGCCAGCAAGAATTTGGAGAAGAAGCTCACGGCCTACCTCAAAATTGAGGGAAATAAAAAGAAATTAAAATAACCCAACTTGAATCAAGGCTAGAAAGACGAATCCTTGGCTATTTCTTACCAAAAAAAACCCGAGCAATTCGCACCCCCACACAGCAGAGCAGCAGCCGGGAGTAGCAAAGCAGAGCAGATCTAGAAACTCTTACAGGGGGGAGATTTCTAAGCTCCGAATCTGGTTCTTGAACAAGAAAATAAGGGGAAAATCCAAGCTTCTTACCGGTTTTCTCAAGGGAAAATGTCACCGGCAGCTGGGCTTGGTTGTTCGGTGCAGGGAGAAGAAAAGAAGAGCAGACGCGCGGGTGAGGAAGAAGAAAGAAGGAAAAAAAAGTAATTGATCCTTATCCAAATCTTTTCCCTCTTTAAGTCCCTCAAGTTTGGAAATTTTCACTATTAGGCCCAAAAACAATCTTTTCTCTCATAAAAACCCTTACTTAAATGCTAAAATATCACAAAATTTTGGGATATCACATTCTTATTTCTATAGTATAATATTTTTTTAATTATTATACTATAATATTAATTATATTGATTATCTTTATTTTATTTTTATTCTATACAATATGATTTAATTAACTTAATTAAAAAATAGTGTGATACCTAGGGGTGGGCATCGGTACAGTACCGGACCGAACTGGACCGGTTCATTATTGTACCGATTTTATTCGGTATTCAAAGGGGATACCGAGTACCGACCTAAAGAAATTAATCCAGTATAAGATTCGAGAATCGGTACTCGATACTTTTAAAGTAAAAACCGAGTACCAACCGATTGGTACCCATTAATTTTGAATTCAACCACAGCATGCACTAGTTTTCAATATTATTAACTTTTGCAACTGCACCAAAAAAAGAAAAATTCAACATGCAGTTCCTGGTTTAATATCAATAACAAATAATTTGCTTTGAAATTAAAAACAGGAGGAAAAGGCATGCAGTTTTGATACCTAAAAGGGTGATTTTTCACATGCAATCTCTGCATTTTCAAAAATGCTTTGGCAGTAGATCTTTCAGGGAAATAATTTTAGGAATCGAAGGTGATTGAAGATTTGAGGGGCAAAGGGAGAAGAGTTGAAATCTAAGGGAAAAAGAAGAAGAAGAAGAAGAAGAAGAATTCTTCTAGTGAAAGAGGGGGCTTACCAATGGAACAATTTCAGAAATTGGAGGGGGGGCTTGCCGCTTTGTGAATGGAAGACCAAAGAGCCAAGACTTCTTGTCAATCTTCCTTTTCGTTGATGTGGTTGATGTGGAGTCTAAGAGATGAGAGGAGAAGCCGTTGAGCAAAATTAGAAAAAGTGGAACTGTGGAAGCATAAGAATTGGGGATTTAGTTTTTGTTATTATCATATATGCTTTTCTTATTTTTAATTAGTAAAATAAATTTTAATTTATTAATAAATATATATTTAAATAAAATTATATAATATTTGGTACGATATTCGGTATTCGGTATTTTCAAGTCACAAACCAAATACCGACCGAATAAATTAAATGGTACAGCCCTTGTACCAGATTTTCATTCCTATCAGTACATACCCGATACCGAGTCCCGAATAATCGGTACGTCCCGATGAGACGAGTCGGGAATACCGACTTTTGCCCACCCCTAGTGATACCCCAAAATTTTCTAGAATATTTAAGTGTGAATTAGGGATTAACTTGTGAGGAGAATATTGTTTTGGGCTTAATAGACAAAATATCCAAAGTTGAGGGACTTAAAGAGGCAAAATTTGGATAAGGATGAGCTTCTTTTCTTTTTCTTTTTTTTCTTTCTTTCTTTCTTCTTCAGCCCGATTCTACTCTTCTTGTCTTCCCGCTGCAACCCGAGAGAAAAAAAAAAGAGGGAACCCGGCACCAGCCTTTGAGAAACCGGTGAGGAAGCTTGGTTTTGGCCTTCTTTTCTTGTTCAAGAACAAGATTGGAGCCTTGAAACCTTCCCCCCTGCTGGAAATTCCGGATCTGCTTTGCTCCTTCCTTCCTCACCGCCGGCTGCTCTTGATTGTGGGTGATTTCTGGGCATTTTTTCGGTAAGCACAGCCATTAAATCCTCTTTTCTCACTTGAATTGGCTTGGGTTAACCTTAATTTCTCTTGGTTCTCCAATTTCCGGTAGATTTCCCTTGAATTTCCCCTGCACTGCCGCCGACTTCTCCCCCTGCCAAGTTCGGTTCTGCAGCTGGAAATTCTGGTATGTTGACAGCTCCTCCAAGCTTGAAATCTCGTTAATTGGTTGCTGAATTTTGTCCATAAACTGTTGCTTGTGCTGTCCGAATTTTACAGAAAAATGAGGAGGAATTCCGGTAGCTTTAGGACAAATTTAAGCATTAATTTAAGTGGGATTTATATGATTGAGTGTTAATTGATTGCTGTGTGATTTTTGGAGAAAATCCCGTGAATTAGCTAGTGGTTTGGGCAATTTTTGGAAGTTGGAGTTACTGTTCACGTCGTGGTTACTGTTTACGGACACTGTTCACATATCACTGTTCACAGATCACTATTCACACCCCGAGGGTCAACAATTAATGGGGATTTAAATGATTAGTTTGTGATATAAGAATAAATTTGGAGATGTCCGATCATAAAGACTAATAAAAATAGCATTGTGATTAAGGGTGATCCTAATGATGATTTCAATTTAAATTGTGATAGTACGGTATTAATGTTGGAATATCTTGATTAGGTTCTTGATTGTTCTGTCAATTTAGCACTAAGATCGAGTCTTTGATTTTATGGAGTGAATTTTTTATTTTATGCGAGTGAGATAAGTAAATTCTATACAGTTTTTAAAAGCATGTTTTGATTTGTTTTTGAAGTGGTGGCGGGATTAAACTCATTTTATACAAATATGAGCATGACTTATTTGAAATGAAATTATTATGCTTTTCATTAAATTGAGCATGCCTACTTGAAATTTAATTGATTGTCCTGATTATTTGAAAGTGATTGGTGAATTATGATTTTTCTATTAACTTCTGTCTGTTTTGTTTCCGATGTGGCCATGTTATTAGTGACCCTATTAGTGGGGGTTAAACGCTAGCACATATCGACATGTATTTCTGTAGAGCCGGTTCCTTCTGCCAGTGGGAGTTTTTAAACATTGGTATTTTTGTAATCCTGCTAGTGGGATTTTACACTAGTAATTTCTGTAGCCTGCCAGTGGGAGGTTTATAACACTGGTCGTGACCTATAGAGGAGACATCTATTTCGTTCATGCACTATAACCGTTTTTCGTAATTATATTTGTTGGCATGTTATAAGTTTAATAAGGGGCACTCCATATTTACTTACTGAGTTATCTCATAGTTTTTCCTTGTCCACCATTTCAGGAAGCGAAATCGAGAACGGGGAAACCACAGGAAGTGACGAGTTAGGAGGCTAGCCATTTCGAGATTGATATAAATTTTAGAAATAAAACATGATCTTGTAAACTATAGTGTATTTGGAGATTTTATGATATCAGAGCAGTTTTTATAATTTTATCTTCAGATTTTGGTGGTATCAGATTGTGATATGATAAATTTTGAGTCTTGTGCATTTGTAAAATCCTCTCACGAGTGCACGACGTCTGTCGCGCTTCGAATTTGGGTTTTGGAGTGTGACAAATAGTATAGCTCCAAAATCATTTTTTATATAAACAAAAGCTCTACTCTTAAAATTCTTCACCCTTTTGTGTGGTAATAGTTTGAGTTTACTTGTTGTAGTTGCCTTATTAGTACTATCATTTTACTATGTATGATATATATTAGTGTATTTTATAATTGTGTTTTCTATAATTTGATATTTAGATTTTTTACCTAATTAAATATATTTTAAATGGTATTAAAAAACTTATCAATCCAACCAAATCATATCAATCTAATCTAAATTAAATTGGTTTAGTTATAATATAATGATGGATTTTATTGAGTTAAAAATTTTATTAACTAATTAAATTGGTTTAGTTGTAAAAATATTAAGATCTAATCCAATTCACACCACAAATACCCATATATATAGAGTAAGAATCCACTTATACATAAATGTTATACATCTATGTTAACATTTAATAAGGTAAGTTTTTTAAATTTTGAATTAAGTTTTAATTAAATAAAATTATATATTTTAAGATTAAAACTTTAATTTTTTTTTTTATAAAAATCAAAACTAATATGTAGTATGGTTATATATATATATATATATATATAAAAGTATGTGCAGAATTATGCATTGTTACCCAGTGACAAATGACTAAACGTATTTTCCGTCAACCAGTTCTCCAATTAACTACTACTCCTCGTCGAATTTAATTGTCCTCGTTTTTAAATAAAGGTAATTTGATTTAATTGTTTTATTTTTTTAATAATATATTAAATACTAATATTTTAATTTTACTCAAATTTTTAAAAAGAAAAAAAATGTGTTAGGATTTTTTGTTTAATTATAAATACTGATAAAAATTAAAAAATAAATCTTAATTATTATAATAAATAAATTTTATAATGATTATAAATAAATAAAATAAAATAACTAAATTCAACTAAAAAGAGTACCAAACACAGAAAAAAAATAATATAAAAAACAATTTCTCAAAATCATTTTCTGCAAATCAAATGGAGGCTAAGTTCTTTTCTTTTTCTTCATGCTTGAGTGCTGTCTACCTTTCTCTTTCTTGTTTTCTTATTATTCTTCTCCTTCTCATTCTTCTTCGTTTTCTGATCTCTGGTCACCGTCTTCTTTCTTCAAAGGAGTATCTTCTGTGGAATTTTTTGTCCTTCATTTTTTTTAATTAAGAGTCTACTTTTTTTTTAGTAGAGATGAAATAAAAAAATTTTAATTTAAGTATGGAAATCACTAAAACAACATAATAAAATTATTTAATTATATTTTAATAATTTCAATACTCAAATTATACTTTTATAAAATTAAAAAAAAATTCTGCTAATTAAATCATTGGTAATAGGTGATAACTTCTAAAATGAGCCCATCTTTTTTCTCTTCTTAAAATTCTTAAACACAGGAGCTTCTTGTATGAGGCCATATAGGCTTTTACGTGGAATTTTACCTTTAAAAAGACGATTGAGGGATGAAATAACCAATCTAATACACGAGTTTCCTAAAAAATATTGAGGAACAAAATTTCTAGATCAAAGTCACACTACTACAAATTCAATGGCTCATTGACTTCCCATAAAATCTATTAATCTAACCCCTTAATATTATTTAGCGTTTTCGATGAATTTCATGGGCAAAATAAAACGCGGTGTTCATTTTCATTTTTGAAGAGACAACAAAGAGAAGTTTCACCCCAGGCGAGCGTGTCTCGTGTGGAAGCGGGACACCAACCTTTTGCAACCCTTTCATAGCTGAGGACTAGCCGGACGCTTGTAATTTGATGTTAATTTAACATTAGTCTAACTAGCTGTAAAATATTACTCATTTGGTCTATTGATTGTCACAGTTTGGGCTTTTCTTCTTTTTTTTTTGTACAGTAAGAGATAATCTATTTTATTCATTTTACTCACACACTATCCTCATACTTAAAACTCAAATTAAGAATTTGTTAATATTATTAGACTGCTTAGGTCATTAGTTATTATTTGATTTTTGCATATAATTTGATAAGTTTGTGAAAGGAGAAACTATTTTGTTTATATGCCTCATTATTAGACAAAGGAAAAGGAATTATATGACTTTCAACTGTGACTGCCAGAGCTTGTATTTAGCTATACCATTCATATAAATATTTGATTATTAGTTATTTAAATACTTTAATTTAATTAATTTAAAGTGTAATTCTAATTGGTACTATAAATTATGCTTGTATATTTATTTTTATATAATGCTTATATGACAAGTCATACATGCATTATAATCCTCAATTATTAATATATACTTTTTTTAAGGAAAAATTATTAGAATTTCTTTTATAAAAAATGATTGGTTTACAACTTTCAATGGTTACCACAATATAATTGTCATAAGATGATGTGATATTTTTCTTATTAATTTTCTTGTTTGATATATATATATATATGATTAGTGCATATTAATTTCAACTTTAAAAAAATTAGAGTTTTAATTTATATTTAAAAATTGAAATCTTAATTCAAAATTCAAAAATCTAATCCGTTCTTAAATTTAAATATCAATATTTAATAACATAGATTTTTAAATTTTAAATTGAATATTAATTAAACAAAACGATGTAATTTAAAGTTAAACTTTATTTTTTTTGAGAATCCGAACTGAAATGCATTTTTTCCTATATATATTTGAGTAGAAATCTTTATACATAAGTTTTACATATTATATTTATATAAAATCTTAATTATTTATCTCTTCACTTTTAATGTAGAGATTTATTCATATTTATTAAATATAATTATTTTTCATCTAAAAAGTAGTGATAAATCTCAACTATTAAAAGTAAATAAATAAATTATTAAAATTTTGTATAAATATAATATATAAAATATGTGTGTGAGTAAATTTCTCCTCTATATATATATATATGAGAGGAAAATGGTCACACATCAACCTCTAAAAATTTTAGGGAGATCCAGCCATCCTCCTTGACTTTTGCCTTAGACAGTCCTCTGCCAACCAAATATTCATCCCCACTTATCCCACCATTTCCTTTCTTCTCCATCGATATCTCATTAGAAAGTGTTCATCTTGATTTCCCTCGGCACTACCCTACAATCTCTTGCGTTCCAATTGTGAAAAAAACTAATTGACGAATACTTTTATCAGAAAAAGGCAATATTGTAATATATAATTTTTATTAATTTTTATAGGTCAATATGAGATGTGTCCTTAAGATTATTTACAAAAAGATTAGTTTTAATATGTATAAAAATTGGTGTGGATAAATCTTAACCATATCAATTTGATATTTGCCCTTAACTATAAATAAAAAAGGCAAAACATTAATTTGATAAATATTTTTTTTGTACTAACCCTTGATATTCAAAAACTAAATTAATCTTTGAAGTCGAGCTAAATTAAATTTCATAAAAATAGAAACTTTCTTATTGTCTATTTCTGTATTAAGGAGACTTGAATTAAAAACATTAATTAAAAGAAACCGAACTTTTTCAATTCAGACCAATATGTCATTAATAATTTGATATTGGGTGGTGTTATTGGGACAATTTTTTTGTCTCACTTTTTTATATGACTTTTACGTGCCATTAAATGAGTGGATGCATTTAATATTATAGGTCTCATATGAATTAAAAAAACCAATCATTTTAATAACACGTTAAGTTATACAAAAATGTGAAATGAAAAAATTGTATAAATATCATTTCCCTTTGATATTTTTATTAATTTTTATTGAAAATTACATGCACAACATTAAAAATTTAAGGAAAAAATTTATCAATCTTATTTGTAAAAAATTAAGTAAAAAATACATTAAAATTACCTCATTTAAAAAAATTCTCATTAAAAAAATTAAAATTTAAAAAATTTTTAAATTATAAATAAGATTGTTCTAATATTTTGTCATATTTCTTTATTGAAATAACTGTAATTTTGAGTAATTTTTAGCCAATATTTTTATAAATTTAATTAATAAATACTAATATTAAAATTTAATTAATCAATTATCAGCAAAGTTAATCATACACATTTGTCCAAAAAAATAAAAAGAGTAAAACAAATATGCTTTGAATGGTTTTTCAATTACCCTAAAAAATATTTAATTAAAAAAAATCAAAATGGACAATTAATTTAGGATATATATATTTTTTAACCGGAGCAATGATTAGAAATTAAAAATTAACTAAATTAATACTTTATTTTTGATAAAATTTAATCACTAACCATAAATTACAATTTACTGATAATACTATTGAACTGCAGTGTTTACCAATAAACTCGGCAGAAATGTTAAAGTTAGGATAGATGGATTATTTAAAACAAACGAATAAATAGCCAGATAATAAATAAATAAATAAATAAAAGGGCAAGATGAAAGAAGTCCAAGAGCCATGTCATCATATTACAGAGAGACAAGCGAATGTCCCCTTCCCGCAACTTTTCTTCTCTCCGACGACTCCGTCCAAATTCTCTCTCTGTCTCATCTCTTGCGCTCAAACACCAAACATTGAATCAATGGTGACCTTGAAAGCAGGAACCAGGCCGCCATGGGTTGGTCTCGGAGCTGCTGTTTGGGTGCAGATAGCATCTGGGAATGCATACAACTTCCCTCTCTATTCCCATTCCTTGAAATCTGTTCTTGGATTCAACCAGCATCAGCTTACCATGCTTGGTGTTGCTAATGATATTGGAGAAAACGTTGGTCTCCTTCCCGGTATTGCCTGCAACAAGCTCCCTCCTTGGGTTATTCTATTGATCGGTGCCTTTGCCTGCTTCTTTGGTTATGGCATCCTTTGGCTAGCTGTTAGTCGTACTGTTCAATCACTTCCGTACTGGCTGGTGAGTTTATTACTTTTATCATTTTTTTGTGGGTTCAAATTTTCCTTCTTCACAGCATAGATTTGTAGCCTGGAGATTTTTTTGCTTCTTGTAGATTCCTTTCTTTATTCTGTTTCAGTTTTTCTAAGATTAGATTGCAAAGATCAATATATTGATCTGTAAGTTGACCTTTCCTATCTTTTTGAATTTAAGGAAGATGAAGGGTTGCATACAAGCAAACGGACAATAACATAAATGTTGTAGTTTTTTTATTTATTTTTTATTTTTTTTATCAAGACATAAATGCTGTAGTAATTTAATTTGCCAATCAAGAAATTATCTTGTATCTCTAGGATTTGAGAATCTCTATTATCATAGACACTTTGAATGGTTTATGAGCCTTCTGAAATCAACCTTACTGATTATATGAGGTTGCTAAAGATGGTCTCATCTACACTGAAGATCCCAGAGATCATAGTAATTGTTTTGTCTGAATCTTTGGATTGCTTTTTCCCCTTGAAACTGGTTACCAATGACAACTCATTAGAAACTTTAATTTTTTTTTTTTTTATTGTAGGATTACAGTATTTTAGAAGTTAGATGTTGTTCTTAACACAGGGCAGAATAAATGAATTGAAAAAGATTCATTGTGCTAATGTTCTTTCCATGCCTATCAACTTAAACTGTAATGCATAGACCTGGCTGCATGTATTACAATTCCAATGTTGCAAATAAAGTATCACAATTTTGTTATGCATTATGAGCTTCATTATTAATACTTACATCTATGTTAGTAAGTACAAACTTTTGATGATGTTTAGTTGTGGACAAGTGAATGGAGGAAATATCTTGGTTTTACTTTTACTATAAGGTTTTTCTTGGTTTAGTTGTATCTTGAAAACTAAGAATCTAGAAAGATCCACCTGTTGATATTGTTTACCGTCTCTTTGATTTTGCAGTTATGGCTTGCCCTTTGTGTTGCTACTAATAGTTGTGCTTGGTTGAGCACAGCAGTGCTTGTCACTAATATGAGAAACTTCCCTCTTAGTAGAGGCACAGTTGCAGGGATTCTCAAGGGTTATGGGGGGCTCAGTGCTGCGGTATTTACAGCATTTTACAGCATCTTGCTTCAAAGTTCATCTTCCAAGCTTGTGTTATTCCTTTCACTCAGTGTTCCAATTCTGTGCTTTTTTGTGATGTACCTCGTAAGGGCTTGTACTCCTGCTTCTGGTGAAGTTTCTCTGGAGCACGGCTATTTCCTTTTTATCCAAGCAACTAGTGTAGTCCTTGGCTTGTTTCTTCTTACAACAACAGTTTTGGATCATGTGCTTCATTTCAGTACTCCGATTTCATATACTTTTCTTGTTATCATGGTTATCCTTCTCATGGCCCCACTATTAATTCCTTTAAAGATGACTATTTTCCCCGTGAGAACTAACAAATTGGATACACCTACCCAACCAGTTGAGTCTTCCAACAACAGCAAGCTTCAAGGAGAAATTAATGCAGACAAAACTGAGCCTCTTTTAAAGCCATCCTCATCTAGAACATCCCTTGGAAGTTTTCGTGAAGCTGAAGATGGATCAGAGGTGGCCATGCTTCTTGCAGAGGGTGAGGGGGCAGTTCATAAGAAGAGAAGGCCTAAAAGAGGAGAAGATTTCAAATTTAGTGAAGCTGCAGTCAAAGCTGACTTCTGGCTTCTCTTCTTGGTTTACTTTGTAGGGGTCGGTTCTGGTGTAACTGTACTCAACAATCTTGCCCAGATAGGAATTGCGCAGGGTGTGCATAACACAACAGTGTTGTTATCTCTATTTAGCTTTTGCAATTTTGTTGGCCGTCTTGGTGGGGGTACTGTCTCAGAGCATTTTGTCAGGTCAGTGCCATCTGAAGTAATCAAGTAGCTGAAAAGCAATTATAATATTTTAATTAACCTGGGATATATATCTAGATGGTTAAGCACTTTAATTCATTTAGAGCAAATGCTTAATTAGCTTTTAAGCAATGAACTATCTAGAAAAATGTGAATTCAAAGAGGATGCTTTAATTTAACGTCAAAGATAAAAGAAAAATGAACTAAATAAAAACCATATTTTTTTGAAGAATTCATCAATTTGAAGTAGAATATAGATGCTAATTTGTGTTTGATCCTAATTCTACCCTCTAAAATAAACCAAATATGCTTACAAGAAAAGATTTCATATCATATTCAATTTTTGTTGTCTTTGATAAATTTCACATGCTTCTATTTCTTCAATGCTTTGTGTTCTGCATGCTAATTGTACGGTATATTCAGTTCATGTACTGGGCACAACATAGTCTTAAGCATTAATCTGTGTTGTTTATTTTGGGTAAAATGATATTGACGCCAAATTGGTTCTAGGATATTATTCTTCTTTTACTGGATAGTTTTCACCACAACATGTGAATTTTCTGTTCTTTACAGGTCAAAAACAATTCCTCGTACCATTTGGATGACATGCACTCAAATAATCATGGTCATTGCGTACCTTCTGTTTGCATCAGCTATTGATGGTACCCTTTTTGTTGCAACTGCATTACTTGGAATCTGCTATGGTGTTCAGTTCTCAATCATGATCCCAACTGTCTCCGAGCTTTTTGGATTGAAGCATTTTGGCATACTTTTCAATTTCATGTCACTAGGAAATCCTCTTGGAGCATTCCTTTTTTCAGGTCTTTTGGCAGGTTATATATATGATAGGGAGGCTGTAAAACAGCAGAGACACAATCTACTCAGTTCGAACATCTCATGCTTGGGACCAGATTGCTTTAGGATCACTTTCTATGTTCTTGCTGGTCTTTGTGGTTTGGGCTCAGTTATGAGCATCATTCTAACTCGAAGGATATGGCCTGTTTACCAAATGCTTTATGCTGGTGGTTCCTTTAGGATGCCCCAGAACTCCAATCATTGAAGATGACTGAAGTTATGGAAGGTCATTTTGGAAGCCATTTTCGTATATCATAGCTGCTTGAGCTTAAGATTTGATGCCTGTCCAGGAGTCTATATAACTTGACAGTACAAATACATACATTTACATACATACAAACATCTATATATATATATAATCACTGTTATGGAACTAAGGTTAAGCTTTTCTAGACGGCTATCTAAGTTCATTTTTTTCCCTTATGTGTAGTGTACTTAATTTACTTTTGGATATCCAATGACTTTGTACCGGAGAAATTCAAGTATTTTTTATATAATTCAATGATTTCGGCTTATGTACTATATTCATTGGATCAACAACTTAATGGCAAAGGTATCTACTTTTGCACAATGAAAGGCAACATTCTTCTATTTTATAACCCACTTTATTTATATGCCATATGATTTAAATTTAAGATATTTTCTTACTTATATTGAAAGGAATATTAAAACTAAAGTACTTAAGTTGTTTGGTAGCAAGATGCTATTGTTGATAAATGGTTTGTGGTTATTTTTGATTTATCTTTTGTTAATGTCATGAAAGATATGAGCTTGAAACTTTATTTTATTGTTGTTGTTGTTGTTTTCCCTTTCAATAAAAACTCAAATTTTGACGAAAAAAAATAATAATCAAAACTCAAATTGTATTATTGAATCTTGGAAAGAAAATGCACAAAATTTTTAGTTTTTACAAAGCTACATGACACACATTGCGCTGCTAGTTAATATTATTAGTTAAAATTATATATAATTATACAAATAAATGAATGTTTCACTTTATACATTCCACTTGGCATCTCCCATCTCCCATATGCACTTAACTTCATTTAGAGTTCTATTAAACCACATTCATGGGACCACTATATTTATGGAACCACCATATTCATAGAACCACTACATTCATAGATTTAGCAAGCTTTGTTCAATGTTCTAATTAAGCTCATTCATGAATATATTCAAGTTTATCCATTGAATTTATGTAACATTCATTCTCCCTTAACCTATATATAGGCTTGCATTGTAAGAAAAATATATGGAAATGGAAATGGAAGAATAGAAAGCATTACTATTTTCTTCTCTCTTCTCTTTTCATGGTCTTACTGGGTCATCTTTACTTTTCTCTAACTTAATTACCACTTATTTTATAAGACTTTAACATCACGACCGTCTCCATTATTCAATTCATTTCATAATGTCAAATTTGACAAAATATAAATTTGCTACCCTGGATATAAGGGGCTCAAATTATTTGCCATGGATGATGCTAAAATCCATTTGGCTGCAAATAATATTAAAAAAACAATTGTTGAAGGAAATAAAGCATTCTTACAAGATTGTGCCAAAGCACTTATTTTATAAGATTTTAACATCATGATCGTCTCCACTATTCAATTTGTTCCATAATATCAAATTTGACAAAACTTGAATTTGCTACCTTTACTATAAGGGGCTCAAATTATTTGCCATGGATACTTGATGCTAAAATCCATTTGGCTGCAAATAATATTGGAAAAACAATTGTAGAAGGAAATAAAGTGTCCTTACAAGATTGCGCTAAAGCATTGATATCCCTTTGTCATCATCTTTATGAAGGATTGAAGGCTAAATATTTGACAATTAAAGATCCATTAGAATTATGGTAAAATATGAAAGAAAAATATGATCACAAAAAATTGATGATCTTACCAAAAGCTTATTATGAATAGATGCATTTACAGTTGTAAGATTTTAAATTTGTCATTGAGTATAATTCCACAATATTTTGAATTTCATTTCAATTAAAATTAAGTAGAGAAAATATTACTAATGAAGACATATTGGAGAAAATATTCTTCACTTTTCATGCCTTGAATTTGCTCCTTTAACAACAAGATCAAGAGCATGGTTTTAAAAAATATTCATAATTGACATCATGTCCTTTTGTTGCTAAGCAAAATAATGAACTTTTTTTTTTTCGTACTAACCTTCCGGTATTTGATAACCACATTGGATCTCAACTAATCTAGAACCGAGCAGCGTCGGACCCCATTTGAGGAGAAGCTCTCCCAGCGCCTGTTTCTCCATTCGCAAGACTCGAACTCAAGATCTTGCTTAAGGGGAACCGAACTCCTTTCACTCGAACCAACAAGTCGTTGGTAATAATAAACTTTTTAAGAAAAATCATTAATCACAATTTACTGGTTCAACCTTATTACTTAAGGCAAATGCAACCTCATAAAGAATAATGAGCGTGGTGATAGTCGTAGCCAAGCTCGTGGTTGTGGTGGTAATTGTGGTCATGGTAATAACCATGGTAGTGGTTGAAATAACAATTGCTATCACATTGGTTCTACCTCCAAATATGAATTTGCTAAACAAAAAAAATGTAAGAGGTCAAAATTTACAAAGAACATTGCAAAAGATCCTTAAAGTATTTGTTATCAATGTAGAGTAAAAGGACATTAGGAGCATGCCTGTCGCAATGCTATTTATCAAGCCTCATTTAATGGAAAAGGAAAAGATCTAGAAATAAATTCCATTGAACATAGCAATATAAATTTTGATATACACCTTAATGTTGTAGATTTTTTGAAAGGGTTGAAAACTTTAATGGTGTTTGTGATGGAAATATGCAACCAAGGGTTTGACTTATTGATCGTCTTAAAAATTTATTCTAAGTAGTTATTTCCCTTTTCTATGTATTATATCTTTTTATATTTAACGAAAGAATAAATCATTCTAGAAAATATATATATATATATATTGTTTTTACAAATCTGAATTTTTGTCTCTTCTATTTCTTTTATCTTTATTTTAAGACTAAATGGACTTAGGTGATGTTAAGTTCAATGATGGAAACCTATGTTTTGTTGATAGTGGCACAATACGGATAATGTTGTAAAATATGAATTATTTTCTCAATTAAAGTTAGCCATGACTAATGTTAATACAATATCTAGAATGGCAAATTTGATTAAAGGTTTAGGAAAAGCTTATATTTTGTTGTGTAGGAACATGGCACTTTCCATTCTAGTAGATCAAATTGAAATCTACGAAGTTTTGAGAATATACGTCGTAATAATTTTCATATTGAATCATAGATGAAAATGAAATACAATTCCTTCATGTCACAATTTTTGCATTTGGAAAAAAGGAAATATTAGAGAAAACATTTTCTCTTTTGGATTTTATTTTATATATATATACACACACATTCAAGAGAATCCAACGTTGTCACTAACTAGAATTTACTTAGTCTAGATGCCTTTATCTTTTGGTATAATTAACTTGGTCATCCAAGTGTAATTATGATACAAAAAATTATAGAAAGTTCACATGGACATATGCTCAAGAAATTAAAAGTTCTATCGTCATGAGATTCTTCTGTGTTTGCATGGTCTTTTGTTAAATTAAGTACTAGACCTTTTGCAATTAAGATAGAAAATGAATCTCCTTCATTTTTATAACAAATTCATAGTGTGTGGGCCTCTAAACACCTTTTAGACCATTTCAACATTTTATAGTGTTGATAGATGCTTCAACAAGGTGATCACATGTTTGTATATTATTTATTTAATTAAAATAAATAATATTTTTTTTCTAAATTATTTACAAACAAACCATGGAAAAGAAACAAATTAATAGGGAAACCAAGAAATTACCCATAATAAAAGAAATGAAGGAAATAAACAAATAAATAAAGTGAATTGGGTGTGATTTCTATAAAAAAAAATTCAAACTCCAAATTCTTCTATGTTCATAAAAAAAAAAAAAAAAGTAGAGAAATCACTTGGAAGCAAAAACTTGATGTGCTAAAATTACTCTAGCAAATATACAACTCGCTCCAAGTAATATAATGATGAGAAAAGTGTCGAACTCACGAGGATTGCAATTAATTAAGTATCAAAATAATTAATTTAAATTTATTTAAACAATTGAAAAAGAAGAAATTTTAATTTAAAATAAAAAAAAGAAAATAACAATTAAAATAAAACCAATCAAAATATGAGATACTAAGGTATCGATTTCATCATAATCAATCAATATAAATTCTAGATTAATATACTTTTAAAGCCAATTTGTTAAGTCTTATTGTATGTGATGACGGATTCCCCTAAGTTAATTAACTAGCTTTCTCAAGTCAAGTTAATCTTTCACTTATTTATTAAATTAATCATATTTCTATGTAATTTTAAATAAACTAATAAGTATTAAATTCTATGGAAACCTCTAGCTTAAGAAGGGGGAGCTACTAATTCTCTTCTCTTCCTCCACTACCACATGTGACGTTAATTACTTCTCGGTCTCATCGTCTAATACACAGTTTATATTATTATTGGTTTAATTTACGCAATTCTTTCTCAAGTCATGCATAAATCACTAAATCAATTGAAAAGTGATCATGCTTTCAATCCATTAAGTTCAATAATATAAACTCATCATGTGAATAACTTTAATTGAAGTATAAAAATTACAAAATCTATATTAAATTGATTAGGTTATATCATAAGCTTAATAAAATAAATTAGTTCATAATAAAAATAATAAAACTTAAAATCATAGTTATGAATATAAGAATATTAGTGAAGAATAAAACCCAATTTGAGGAACTTAAAATTTTTGATTTTTTATTGTTGAATAAATCCTCTATTTTAATCTCCAAGGGTATCCAAAAGAGGACTGCTACCAGCCTCCCAAAGCTAAACTTGGATGAGTATTTATAGGATTTTAGAAACCTTAATTAAAATAAAAATAAGACCTACACCCAAAATAATAAATTAAACATGGATTTTGTGAAAATTGCGTAAGGGATCAACACCTTCAACAAGTTGTCGACACCTTCTGTTCAGCGCACACCACCATGTCAGGTTTTTGGCCTTGTAATCAATTTCTGTTAATGCTGAAATTACAGTTCTGGTCCCTGACTTCTGGATTCTGCACAAGTTAATCCTCATGTTTCTGATTTTTGCAATTTGCTCCTAAAAATTATGAGTTCTCCCAATTAAGTTCTTTCCTATACAAAAAATAAAAATTATGTACAATCCAATAAAATCTCGTAAAATTCATCCAAATATCATCAGTATCAAGGCAAAAATTTCATATTAATATCTATATAAATTCAATTCATCAAATTTCCTCAAACTTAAGTTTTATCCATTCTCAAGTAAAATAAAAAACAAATAACTAAAAAGAAAATAAAATCTAATTAACTTTCATAGGAATCACGATTGCACTTAACATGTGCAACAAGCCTTTAAACCCCTAGGTCACCCTAGTAGACGAGTTTTGTCTCACGAGGATTTTCAACAGATCTACCCACAAAATCCCAATGCAAATTGCAACAACATGATATGTATGCAAAGAAAATTTAGGAATTAAAGTTTAATTAGATACAAAGTCCCAAATATTCAAGAGTTCTTATCCACTCACTTAAAGTCAAATGCTCCATCCTATTCTTCACACCACTAATAAAAAAATTTAGGTCATGAGCACTTAGTGTGTGTATGTGAAAATTTATAGTAAGAAGTCTCAAGTTTAGACCTTCATACTTTAGCACTTATTATTATTTTTTCTCCCTCTCCCCCCCCCCCC